GCGGGATTAGCGAGAACACGGTGCTGGACGACAGCATCGACGAGTTGGCGTCGGCGGCACGGGCACTAGCGAGGCGCTGAAGGTCGCCGACCAGGGGCTCCACACGAGGCTCTTCACGGAGGGCGAGCCTCTGGTCGACCCAAAAGGGGGTCCAGTTGAAAGGAGGTGGTGCAATATATTAGGCTCAATAGATTCGTGCGGTTGCATTATATAAATATATATATATATACACACGTGCTGGTGTGCAAATGTCTTGCTGGATTTTGGGCGCTGCGCGACCTGGAGCTGGACCAGCTCACCCCGAATCAGCAGAGCCTAGACTGGTGATCACGACGGAGCGGATGTGTAACGAGCTTCGGACGGCCATGCAGAACGGACGATGCCCAGTGTGCATGTCTAGCGGTTTCAGCCTGCATATTGGTGGCCGCGTCTCGGGTGCGCAGCTGGGCTAGGACGACCCAGGCTGCGCGCTGCACGAGGACGCCATCGGAGTGTGCCCGATGTGATGGTGCGGAAGTTGTGGTGGCACGCTCCACAAGGAGCGCGTTGACGAACAGCTCATCCCCGTGGATTGAGCAGCAGGCGCGTTCGGCGCGTGCAGTCGTCTTGACAGGCCTCTTGGGGGTCGTCTGATTTCGATTCCGAGCTCGGCCGAGGCGAGCTGTGATTTTACAACTTCCGTCGTCGTTGACACCACTGTTCCCAATGTTCCTCCTCCCTCCTCTCGTCCTAGTGGGCTTCTCCTCCGGGCGGCCGATCCTAGCGCGCTGCCAGTGGGTAGGTTCAGGTTGGCACACGCGCGTCAAGCTCCCTCCCTCCTCCCCCCTCCCCCCCCGCGCGTGCCCTCCAGGAGCACTGTCGCTCGTGCTACGGTGCACTTCACCAGCGTTCGCAATGCTCTCAGGCTTGCTCCACGGTGGTGCTTCTTCGGGGCGCTGGCTGCTCCATCCCTCCCTCCCAGAGAGCACCCCCCCCCCGCGCGCCCCAGGGGAGTACCTGATCCTGACGCGGATGGTGCAGACGCTCGGGGGCCTGTCCCGCAGGATGCGGGGCGCCTCGGCGACCGCCGTGGTGGAGGGCGGCGACGGCCTCGGGCCAGTCCCGGCCGGCGGCGGCGGCGGCCTCGGCCGCGGGCGGCCAGGGCGGGCTTCGAGCCCAGAATTGCAGCGCATTGGGCAGTATTCGGCGGCGCGCCTGGGGGGAAGTGACATGGATCAAGGCCTCTTCAGAAGGCGGCGGGGTTTCTCAGAAGGCCTCGGGCCTTCTGCGAGGCTTTCTGGGTCCTCGGGGGCGGCTCAGAACACTTCTCAGAAGGCCGGAGAACTTGCGAGATGTCCGAGAAGACCCGCCCCTTGTCTTTCCCCCCGCGGGCGCGCCGCCTACATATGCAACTCGGCTTTCGTTCGCTCTTGTCTTCCAGGGACCGTCAAAAGAGCGACTCGGGACGAACTGCCGTGCCTGGGGAAAGCTTTTCAGGGACCCCGTGCTGCAGAAACCAGGGCGTCGGCGTCGGATCTCTGGGGAGGCCTCGACCCTTTCCCCGCGGGCAGTGTTCGGATGGTCCCCTGGCCCGATCTATGTTCGATGGCCCCGGTGCCCGAACACGGCCCCCCTGGGCAGGGCGTTTTTGCTCCTGCTGCCGCGAGCGCCCGCCGCCAAGATGTCCAACATACCTGGGAGCCGCTGCCTAACATCCAAGCCCCGATGCGATCAACCAGGTCTATTTTGGCGGCGGCCGCGGTGGGCATCAAACACGGGCCTGGCTTTTGTTAGGGACCGGCGCCGCTCCCCGTGTGTAGGATCTTGTGCACTTCGTGCCGGGTATGCACAGGGCCATGTACAGTCCGTGTCGGATCCATCGAGGACCAGATGCCGCCCGTACCGGAGATGTGTAGGACCTCATGCATTCTACACCTGATGTGTATGGGATCGCATGCATTCCGTATCGGGTTTGTGTAGGATCCGATAGAGCCCGTATCGGTTTCGTACGGATTCCTGCGCACCCCATATCGTATCTGTATACGAGCCTATACAGTCCGCATCGGCTCTGTGTCGGTTCCTACGCAGTCCGCATCGTGTATATATATATATATATATATCCATAATACAAGACTGCATTGGCGCTGCGCGCCATGCACCTTGGTCCTTTGAGTTCTGCACGCAAGCGGAATGCGTGCGTGCGTACATGCGCGCATGCATATATACACGCGCACGTGCATGCACGTTCCGTATGAATATCTTGGTGTATACGATAGACTTACATTGTTGTATGTGTGTTTACAGCGTACATATGCACGTACTAATTTATGTGTGTAAAGATATGAACATGCATATACAATTCGAACGGGGCATCCTCGGGCATCTTCGCTGCATGCCACGAGACCCTCAACGACTGGGTCACAATGTGAAATGTCATGGGAGCAAAATCAATGGATGTTGGCATTCGGAAACATCGTGGGGGTGTTTTCGGGGCCCTCGTGGGCCGTTTTGGCGCCTTCATGGGCCGTCCTGGGGCCTTCTTGGGCCGTCTTGGCGAGCTTGGGCCCGCTGGAGCCCCCTTTGGACCCATCTTGGGCACTTCCGGGGACCTCCCATGGCCTTTTGGGTCTGTGCTGGGAGCCCTTGGGGGGCCTCTAGGTTCCACTATGGGCTGTCTTGGGGCTCTTGTGGGCGATCGTGGGGCCCGGCTCGGCCGTCTTGAAGCTTTCTTGGGGGCCTTTTGCAGCGTCTGGAGGCGATCTCGGGGGCTTTGAAACCGTCTTGAAAGCTGATGAAATCCGAAAGGCGAATCTGCTAAAACTGTAAGTTTTACGAAGGGAATGGGACGATTTTGTGGTTTGAAGGCCCCTTGGAAAGCTTTTTGGGGTGCCTTGTGGGGGTCATTATCTTGGCATTCCGAAACATCGTGGGTGTGTTTTCGGGGCCCTCGTAGGCCGTTTTGGCGCCTTCATGGGCCGTCCTGGGGCCTTCTTGGGCCGTCTTGGCGAGCTTGGGCCCGCTGGAGCCCCCTTTGGACCCATCTTGGGCACTTCCAGGGACCTCCCATGGCCCTTTTGGGTCTGTGCTGGGGGCCCTTGGGGGGCCTCTTGGTTCCATTATGGGCTGTCTTGGGGCTCTTGTGGGCGATCGTGGGGCCCGGCTCGGCCGTCTTGAAGCTTTCTTGGGGGCCTTTTGGGGCGTCTTGAGGCGATCTCGGGGGCTTTGACACCGTCTTGAAAGCTGATGAAATCCGAAAGGCGAATATGCTAAAACTGTAAGTTTTACGAAGGGAATGGGACGATTTTTGTGCTTTGAAGGCCTCTTGGAAAGCTTTTAGGGGTGCCTTGGGGGTCTTTATGTTGGCATTCGGAAACATCGTGGGTGTGTTTTCGGGGCCCTCGTGGGCCGTTTTGGCGCCTTCATGGGCCGTCCTGGGGCCTTCTTGGGCCGTCTTGGCGAGCTTGGGCCCGCTGGAGCCCCCTTTGGACCCATCTTGGGCACTTCCGGGGACCTCCCATGGCCCTTTTGGGTCTGTGCTGGGAGCCCTTGGGGGGCCTCTTGGTTCCATTATGGGCTGTCTTGGGGCTCTCGTGGGCGATCGTGGGGCCCGGCTCGGCCGTCTTGAAGCTTTCTTGGGGGCCTTTTGGGGCGTCTGGAGGCGATCTCGGGGGCTTTGAAACCGTCTTGAAAGCTGATGAAATCCGAAAGGCGAATCTGCTAAAATTGTAAGTTTTACGAAGGGAATGGGACGATGTTTGTGCTTTGAAGGCCCCTTGGAAAGCTTTTTGGGGTGCCTTGGGGGTCTTGTGGGCCGTCCTGACGCAATTGGAGTACCTCTTGGAGCGCTCTTGTGCTGTCTGGGGCCTCCCTTGAGCCTTTCTGATGACGCCTCGGATCGCTCTGGGTCTGCTGGCCAGGCGTGTGTGGAGATCCGGAAAGCCGGGTGACCTTTTCCAAGGACGTCCAAGGGAGCCCGAGAACCCCAGATCCTGGGGGTCCAGTTTTGGGGGGGGAGGGTTTTCTCCCCCCCCCCCCGGACTTGTAAAAATATAGGAATTTAAAGGAATCTGTCGGGCAAAAACAATCAAATGCGGCCAACGCCGGATCTGCACAGGGTCCTGTACGGTCCGCACCAGCTCCGTATAGGATCTTGTAGTGTCCGTACCCATGTTGTATACGAGCGTGTCCAGTCAGTGTCGGGACTGCATCGGATCCTACGAGGTGGGGCTGCCGATCGGATGCCAGGTGACCCGCGCTCGCGCGGGGTGCCCGCCGCGCGCGCGCGTTTATGTTCGCAGCGCATGGTCCCGCGTAGATGTCCGACCGCGACTGGAACAGTTGCGTGTGCGTGTGTGCGCTCAAGAGGCAGTGTAAGGTGTATGTGCTCATGCTGGCCTCAGCGTCAGCGTTGTTGGGCATTGCAGTCGAAATCGTCCGCTGCATTGCTTTCCCGTCGGACCTTCCTTGGGCACAGCATGTGCGTACTTGATTGTTGGCGTGATTTGCAGAATGGACGTCGCGTTTGGCGTTGAGTGCTCACTGGTGTCCTTTTCTGTTCGAGTTGCTCGCGCGGCTGAAGGCGGCGGTCTCTCGCTTGTCACATCGAGCGCGCTCGCGTATAATAGTCTGGTTGTTAGCTGGCCCGAGCGAGACTTGTGGCATTACAACCCGTCTGGGAGGGGACCGTGCTGAAGCCAAAGGCAGACACCCTGGTGTCACAATCGGCATCGCCGTCCTCGCAGAGCCGCCGTAGCGCTTCTCGGGGCACTCCGGAGCGCCTCGGAGCGATCGCGGGAGCCCAGAGCCCGCACGTCTTGGTTTCGCCGAGGCTTCCAGAGATCGCCGAACTGGTCTTGCCAGGGTTTTTTCCGCACAGTCAAGCGCCGCAGCAATGACGCAGCGTTCGTCAGAGAGTCCGTTGCTCCTGCGAGTGTTTGGCGCATCCTTCGATGATTGTTCCACGGGCTCCGCTGCAAGCGGATCATCATGGATCTGCACCTGGCATCATTCGCCCACGCCCTCGTCCCGGGAGGAGGAGGAGGACGAGGAGGAGGAGGAGGAGGCGGAGGAGGCGGAGGAGGAGGAGGAGGAGGAGGAGGAGGAGGAGGAGGAGGGAGTGAGGACGAAGACACGAAGGAGGAAGCCCAGCCCAGTCCTGCGCAGGAGCTGGGAGGAGAAGGAGCAGCAGGCAGAGGAGGACCAAAGGGGGGGGTGCCTCGGCCGCGCCCCCAGCCGGGGGGGCCCCCCGCGCCCCCCCGCAGACGTCGGACCGCCGCCTCTTTCCTCGGAGCCCGCCGATTCGGTAGCAGAGCATGGGAGCCTTGGTATGCCCTCGCAGGTCCGTCTTCAGCGTCGCTTAGCGTCCAGTAGCGTCTGGGAGTCCACGAGACAGCGCCGATCTGGCGCCGATCTGGCGACGCTCCGCGTCGATCTGGCGTCGGCCAGCGTCTATTCGCCAGAAACGAGCAGATGGCATGGGAGGCCCCAAGGAGTCGCCACCGAACGCCGGGTGCCGAACCCTCCCGGCCCGAGGCGACGGCGGCAGCTGCCACTTCTCCGAGCTGTCGGTAGCGTGGCTCTGGGGGCGCTTCGTCCGGGCGCCCCCCGCGTCGGCGCATCTCGCCCGCGGGAGAGGCGGCGGCCCGAAAAGGTGGGACTCGGGCGCGGCAGGGAGAGGAGGGCCCGGTGCTGCCGCCGCCGCCGCCCCTCCTCCTCCTGTTCCTCCTGCTGCTCCTCCTCCTCCTCCTCCTCCTCCTCTTCCCCCCTTCCCTCCTCCTCCTCTTCCTCCTCCTCCTCCTCCTCCTCCTCCTCCTCCTCCTCCTCCTCCTCTTCCCCCCTTCCCTCCTCCTCCTCCTCGTCCTCCTCCTCCTCCTCCTCCTCCTCCTCCTCCTCCTCCTCCTCCTCCTCCCCTTCCCCTCCCCCTCCTCCTCCTAGGCATTGTGGTTCGAGGGGAGGCAAGGGCGTGGTCCGCCCACCCCCTCCCCAGGAACGCCACGACCTCAGCCGCCAGAAGCCCGTTTCTCTTGGGCCCTCGTGCACTCCTCATGGAGGGCGCCTGCGCCGCACCGCCTCGCGAGGCGGGCGCGACCTCGCTCAACCCGCAGGAGACGGAGAGCGGCGGATGCAGCAATCCGCCGTGCGCACCGCGCGGCCTGCGTGCTCTCCGCGTCGCTCGGGCCGTTGTCGCGGGCGCCGGCGGAGGTGCCGCCCGCGGTGCGCAGGGCGGCCCACCTACCGGCGGCGGCGGGCGCGCTGATGGCCGGCAGGGTTCTCCTCGGCTGCTTGGGCGAGGCGGCCGCTGCTCGCACGCCTCTTCGTAGCCAAGCTGCTCGATACGTCCATCGGGCGGGTGCTGTTGGTGCGTGTGGTCTTCGTGCTGATGCCGATGCTGGCCATGATGCTGGTGAGCCTCCCTCGCACTTCGCGGCGGCGGTGGTGCAGTGCGTCGACGGCTTCGAGGTCCTCGTCGGGGCGCTGTCGAGGCCCTTCCCCGCCGAGTTCCTGGGCCTCGTGGGCGAGTTTTCGGTGCTCGGCCGTGGCATGGCGTTCTTCGGCCGCTTCCTGGGCTTCGAGGGCGCGTGTTCAAGGGCTTCGATTTCGAGTTCTCCACCTTTTGCGTTCCGCACGAAGGTGGGCCCCGTCAGCGACTTGGGCGTTGAGGTCGGGACCACGGAAGCCTTCGGCGCCGTCGCTCCTAGGCCTGGCCCGCTCTACGGGGGCCCTGCGGTGCCTGTTGCGAGCTCTGGCCCGCTTCTCGGGGAGCGCGCTCGAGGACGTGGCCCGCTCTGCGGGGGTCCTGCAGCACCTGGCGCGAGCCCTGGCCCGCTTCTCGGGGAGCGCGTGAGTGGACCTGGCCCGCTCCACGGGGGTCCTGCAGCACATGGTACGAGCCCTGGCCCGCTTCTCGGGGAGCGCGTGAGTGGACCTGGCCCGCTCTACGGGGGTCCTGCAGTACCTAGCGCGAGCTCTGGCCCGCTTCTCGGGGAGCTTATATGCGTGGGCCTGGCCCGCTCCACGGGGGTCCTGCTGTACCCGGCGCGAGCTCTGGCCCGCTTCTCTGGGAGCTCGCGCGAGGACCTGGCCCGCGGGCCACGCGGAGGCTTCCCTGGACCTCTGGAGGCTTCGTGTAGCTGGCGGCCCGCGCCACCCGTCTGAAGGAGCTGGTCGTCGAGGCGCGCGGGCGCGAAGGTGAGGGCCCGATCGCGCCTCCGCCCTCCCCTCCCTGCCTGCCTGGCTCTGCGTTGTGCGCCGCTGCCGCTGCCACCCGCTGCAGCCCCTGGGTACCAGGAGTGCCGATGCGCACTTCGCGCCTCTTCTGGGCCATCTGAAACGCTCCCAGCAGTGCCTCAGCCCTCGGCGACGTCTGGGAGGCGGCGTGCTGCTGCGACATCGTCTGCGCGCTGTGCGAGCGCGGAGCTCGGCTCTGACCCTGACCGGCCCCCTCCTCGGCCCGCCCTCCGCAGGACCAAGTCCAGCGGCGAGTTTGCCGTGACCGGTGTTCCCTTGGAGCTGCCGCTGTAG